AGTTTCAGCAGCGGCTGAATCTGGACGCCAGTTCTGACTTACATACAGATTTAACTTAAGAACAAACCTACAGTCCCTATCTTGTACGTAACCCGGGGACTGCCTGTATTGTGCTGAAATCTAGCCTAGTACTTGAGATATGCTTGTACACTCTGACTTTCATCTGGTCTATGTCTGCACAGCTGAAACTAAACCTTTACAGCTGTATCTAATTTCATCCATTTGCAAATGGTATAACAGAATAAGTCAAGGTGATACAGAATTATTTAAGTGCACGGTTCATTATATGCAGTAAAGTGTATATTTATGAGGGTTTTATTAATGTGTCTAATGAGCATGATAAATTCTCTATTATTGGTTAAAAACAAATGTTTGACTACAATTACGTAATAGTTGTTACAGTAGTTAGACTGATATTTCTGTCAGTCATTTGGTTAAAACACTGGAAAGTTACTAAACACAGCATACATTGAATGTATTAAAACGAGCTAACTGCTGGCACACAAAATGTAAATTGGGAATCATGATCAAGCAGGTGTATTCTTAGTGGGGCCCCGCAGGGATGAATTATTGGCCATATGCTATTTAAGATATTTATGTATCTGGGAAGAAAACATATAGTCATTCCAGGTAACGCTTGTAGATGGCAATTGGGTGGGTAGTAAATAACAGGATAGGTCATTGCTACAGAATGATCTGGGTCTCTTGGAAAACTAGGTATGAGTAACAAATAAGCTTTTAATGTGGCTACTTGTAAAATCATGCATCTAGGAATAAAGAATGTAGGTCTTAATTCCATGCTGAGGGGATTCTGTCCTGGCAAGCAATGACTCCAGAAAGGACTTGAGGGTCATGGAGCCAAACAAGAGCTCCAAGCGTATAGCTATTGCCAAAAGAGCTAATGTTGTCTCTGAATATAAAAAAACAGAATATTAAATAGGAGTTGAAGGGTTGTTTTACCTCTGTATTGGGCACATGTAGTGCCCATTTCTGGTGTTCACAACTCATGAAAGACATTGATATTGGGGATGTAAAAAAAATTATAAAACCCAGTAACGGTGTAACCATTCAAAATTGTATCAATTACATGGTTAACTAGTTTACCTGGGGATATACGGGTAAGGAGGGAAGGATGGTGGAGTGGTGCCTCCGCAGTCTATCCTGGGATTCCCTTTGCCAACCCCACTCCCAGGGAGCCAGCTGCTCCATGCTGCAGACTCTCCAGCTGGCACGCTCCTGGCACACACCAGCTCCTAGCTGCCAACCCCACTCCCAGGATGCCAGTTATCACTCCACTCTGCAGGCCCTACCAACCCTGCTCCCAGGGTGCTAGCCCCACTCCTGGAGTGGCTGTCCCACAGTACGAGCTCTACAGCCCATGGGCTCCCACCGGCTGCCAGCTCCTCTCCCTGGGTTGTGGCTGCCAGAAGGTGCTGTGAGTTGCCACCATCAGCATCCCAACCCACTGCAGGGTCTCAGCTACCAGTCACACCACTGGCTTTGCTGCATTTAGCCTCCTGGCTTGCCCAGTATCCTGGCGGCTTCTGCTGCAACCTGGGACTCTGCTGTTACCTGCTGCCATTAATATCCAGTATATCTGGGTGCTTGGCATTCTTGATGTGGGCTTCTGGCCCTACTGGGGCTTTGCTGTCAGTACTTTACCGTGCAAAATATTCCCCCTCCCTTACACTTTGGTAGTGTCCTTCAAAATCCTACCATATATCTTTTTCAATATTTCCCCCTCCATCATGCTGTGGTATCATCCTTCAAGCTGCTACCACATGTCCTTGTTTTCCTGAGCAAAATACAACATTAATACTGTCTGTGGCCCACCTGCTTGTGATACTGTGGCAGAGTTCTTGACAGTTCAAACAGCATTTAAGGTTTAATTTTAATTTTTGCATAGTTAAGATGGAGCAATCAAAAAAAGAATGCTGCCTGGAATCATTTCACACAAGAAGGAAAGATCTTGTTAAATGTAAACTGTGTTCCGCAGAGCTGAGCTATTAAAGATTAGTGGTCAACCATCTAAAGCTGAAATAACCATGTGTTTCATAGGAAGCAGAAAGCAAAAAACGCTGACAGCGTTTGCTTCTGGCAGTTCAAGAAAATGCAACGCACAATGTGAGGAACAATTAACGGAATATATGTGCACCATGATCACTACAGATATGCTGCAATAAGTGTCATTGAGGGTAAATGTTTTCGTGCACTGATGAGTTGTGTAGAACCTGTGAGACTGACGATGACCTCACCATTAGAAAAGAGCTATGAAGCCTGTGTGAAGTTTCTCCATGAAAAATTGGAAAATGCTGTTTAAGAAGCTTTCACCACTGACTGCTGGACTGCATTAACTGCAGAAAACTAAATGACTGTCGCGTGCCATCACATTGAAAATTGGAGCTTTGATCCTCAGTTCTACAAACTGAAAATATTGCAGAATGACATACAGCAGAAAACCTTGCTGAAAGATTAAATACTACAGTACAAAGATGGGGACTGGCAGGCCATGTCTTGGCATGTGTACATGATAATGCAAGCAACATTGTGCTTGCCAAAACACCAAGGTTTGTTGCATGGGAATCTGTCCGTTTTTTCCCCATACCTTGTAGCTATCCATAAATGATGGATGCTCTTCCAGTTGTGTAGATTGTGCTATTGCAGCTGCAAGTAGATAGAACAGTTGCAGACTTGCTTCACCACAGCACAATGGCCACAAAAGCACTCGAAAGAAAACTCATCTTCAAGTTCAGCAACACCCTGATCCAGTCATGAAAAACTTGCTGGAATTCAGTATAGTACATGTTTTGAAAGATGCCTTGAGCAAAGGTGGGCTTTCAGATAGCACTGTAACAAAACAATCTGATGCCTGAATGCTTGAGCTGCAAGATGAGCACTGGCAACTAATAGAGGATATCTTACCACTAATTTCTACTTTAAAGTGCGCTATAGCTGCCATGTCTGCTGAAGAGTCAGTGTCAATTTCAAATATTTATCCAATTTGCAACAATCTTCTCCAAACTCACCTCAGAAGCGAAGCTCCTGTTGAAAATGAAAAAGTGCCTGCTTTCAAGACTGCTATTTGTCACTCTCTGGAGCATCACAGGAAACCCTGTGATCCTTAAATAACTGGCAAACCTGCACTTATTGCCTCTTTGTTAGAGCCACATCATAAACACTTGGTTTCTTTCACTTGCTATCCAGATTGTTGCTGAGTCAAAGCTTCTGGAACTTGTTTCAAGGTTAGAAATAGACAAAACCTGCAAGTGCTAAGGCTGAACTGAGAAGTGCTGAACCAGATGGGCCGATAAAAAAGGCGCCGGAGAAAAAGACGAGAACCATAGTGATGTTTCTAGGTGAAGGTTATACCAACAAAGAAAATGAAGGAAATACTGAGGAAAATGAACTGGAAAATTGCTTCAGGGAGCCTTGTTCCTTTGTTGGAATGTAGTCCCCTGGAAGGTCAATGAACAGCGTTTTCCAAAGGCTTGGAAAAATGGCAAACATTCCCATAAATTCCAATGTCTGTGCCTGTGTTTTCTAGCACCGGCCTTACTATTAATCAGCTGCACACAAGACTGACACTAGAGCATGTAAACTTGTTAATTTTTTCTTAAGTAAAATAAGCAGTAGGATTGGAAGTTTAATCAGATATTTTGTGGGTTTGGACAGCTCAGGCATACTATGTAGAAAGTGAGTTTTATTTTTACACATAAGACTGGGCTGGTTTTGTTGTTAATAAAGGCACTCAACAAAGATAATACATAGGTGTGCTTGGTTCACTGTGAG